CCCCTTACCTCTCAGCCATTCCCTTTATCTGCCTCCTCCTCCTCCTCCCTCTCTCTCCCCTCTTCTGTCCTTCACTCTTTCCCTTTTTCTCTCGCTGAGCTTCATAATGTCGCATTAGTGTTGTCAGCTAACCAAGCCGGGGATTTGGCTTTTGTTTTGCTCCCGCTTCTTAAGATAATGCCTTTTTTCATCTCTCCTGTCGAGAATTACAAAAGAGAAAGTAGAGCAATAAAGCTTTGGTTTTCACGAAAATTGGCTCCTAACCGTTTTAAATGGACCACAGGCCTCGGCGGCAGCGTGCGCGCTTGCATGGGATTGTCCGAAAAAAAAGGCAGGCATGGCTTTTCCTACATCCAGCCTTGCTTCCGAAAGCCCGTACTCATCTTTATTCACCGGAAATAAATAAATAAACAGAGACAAGCTTGCGTTTGCATTCCAAACGCGCGGCCCCCCGACGAATGTGTTCCGCAAAGATAAGTGCAGCGAGAGAGGGGTAGAGGCACTTCACCTCCATTTCACATGCATTCCAGATGTGGACATGTAACCAGACTGATCGGCGTGTAAGCATGTGGGGGCCTTTTTTTTTTTTATAGGACCCGGAGCTTTTACTGTACTGGTTCGGAAACCTAATCCCTCACACAAAACTTCACATTAACATGCCACGAGCGTCTCGCGTCCAGCATCCGTCCATGAATGCAAACATGCCACCAGCATCCATTCATGCATTCACTGGGTAGCCGGCAGCCACACATACATTCAGAAAGTATCTTTCATCGCAGTTTGTATATTCTGTTAAAGAGAAGCCAAAGAAAGCAATTTGTCTTTTCTTTTTTGGTGTTGTGCTTTAAACTGAGTGGAGTTAAAGCCGTGCTGTCCGGACCTTCAGTTATTCAGAAAGCCCTTGAGATGCATCGCTACATCCGTGCCATCACAAATCCACATTTAGCATCCGAATGAAATGCCTGATTGCCGACGTGTTGGGTCAGTATGTGTAAAAAACTGCCAGCTTCAGGGATATCAGAGTGTGAAACTGGAATTGAAGGCTGTCTCGCCCGGCGGTCAGGAGCTGCCAAGTCACCCGAGATGATTTTTTTTTGGTCACTGCGGCTTTCGCCGAGTGTCAGTGGCATTGTGATGATCTAAATGCCGTTTTGGAAGTTTTTCGCTGAGATACGAGAGACAATTCCGAAATGATATTGGCTTTGTGTTTCTAATTGAGGATATGTGGTATTTTCTCTTTTTTCGAACATACAAATGACGTTTGTTACTAATATAACACTTATAGAGATTTTAAAGACAAAAATGTTCCAAGCAACGAGGCGATATTTGAGCATATATGTCAATTTGTAAGCTAAACTTTGTTTAAATATTTGAGATTATAGAAGAAATGTTATAGTACTGTCACGTTATCCCAAGTTAGTCCATGTTTTCAGAGCTCACTATGATTTTCAAAATTGATTCTTGAGTTAACTTTGTCGCTGGTATTGAAATCGACTCTTTATGATGGGCATTCCTGCCTTTAACATTCCACCTTCTGTGTTCCCAACAGTAACGGTACGGCCGGAAAGATGAACGGGGCGCTGGAGCATTCGGACCAGCCGGATCCGGACGCGATCAAGATGTTCGTGGGCCAGATCCCCCGCTCCTGGTCAGAGAAAGAGTTGAAGGAGCTGTTTGAGCCGTACGGAGCCGTCTACCAGATCAACATCCTCCGAGATCGCAGCCAGAACCCTCCACAGAGCAAAGGTACCAGCCTGAACATACAGACGCAATGGCTTTGTTTTGTTTTTTAGCTTTCTTCACATCAATCTGTCTCTAAAACTCGCTCGTATCCTCCATTCTTCCGGTTTTTTTGTGTGTCTGAATGTGTCTTCTCCATGTTTTTCTCCTTTCTTTTTTATTCTTCTTCCCCCTCGTGTTTGTTCTGCTTGCGTTCCCCCTTCTTCTGTTTGTTCTAAAGGTACAACTTTCATTAAAACAACTTCTTTTTTTTCTCGCGTAACATGTGCAAATTAACAATGAGACATATGCAATGCATGTTGATGGATCCAAGTGCTCAAACAAAAAAACCAAACACAAACACAAGCCTACTTTTTTTACCAGTCAGGGATGCATGGCAGCCTTGCTCGAGGCGGACCGCCCCTGCCTTTAATGGCTGAACGGCTTATTTATGTTCAAAATTGGACCAATAAACACGCATTTCGTGCACCATTTGAAGACAAAGCCTTACCTTGCCAGACTTACAAAGTCAATTGTGCGAAACTGTGTGATTTGCAGCTATTTTCTCCCATTCCCTTTTCTTTCCTTTCTTTTTTTTTTCTTTTGATGAATTAGTCAAGCGTGAGAGCGAACAATAGAGACAGCAGCAACGAATGGGCAGACAATAGCATTGCCATATTAACAGGCATCAACCGGAGAGAGGGCTGATGACACTCCAGATGAGACATGGAGAGTGGGAGGAAAGTAAAGACAGAGAAGAAGAGGAGGATGACAGAAACGACAGGAGACGTGGCGCTTCCATCCGACTGTAAAGCACATTTCAAGTTTCGGAGTGTCTCTTGAAACAAAATAAGAATCAGGAGGATGACGTGCGTGAAAGTATTAAAGACTCCCGGAATTTAATGAAGGAGTTTTTATTCTCGAGAATATTCATCTTCATAACGGTTTTCTGTATTAATATTTTAATGACGCATCAAACTGTCTACAAAATCCACAAATCAAGTAAGAAACTATTATAGATAGAATGCTTTCAGTACATAATACAGACATATATATATATTAAAGTGCCAATTTAAAGAATAATAATTACTCCGTCTAGCCATGCGCTTTTTTCTGGTCCAAAAAAATTGTTATTCCTTAACAAAGTTACTTGAAAAGAAGGTGCCAGACCGCATCAGCATCAGAGGCATTCCAAGTGTTGTATCAGCAGAAAATGAGGACATTCAATGCCTAACTGTCCTAGACCCCATTAAGGTATCCCCATGGGTCCCAAAAGTTACAGCACAGATTGGAATATACTGATCAATGGGGACTTAAGACAGATATTTGTCCCACACTGGTTAATCTGTGCATATACAGTAATGAGATGTTCAGAATCATTTTGTTACAATGTTGATTACATTGTTATTTGAGAACAGAACGATATTTTATGCAGGGGAAAAAAAGTTTAAACAGCTCAGGTCAAGAATTTTGTTCTACAATTCTTGAATAAGATGATTTTTTTTAGCTTTCATAAGACTTTTTTAGGGTATAGTTGACTTAATTCAGAGTATTTTCTTTCTGTAAAACACGTGTTGGAGATTTTAAAGTTTTACTGATACTCTGACCCTTTCAATACTAGTCCCAAAAATCAGCGGCTATTATGAAAATAATCCCTGACCCCCACAGCAAGAAGCTGTGAAGTGCGGCAGAGTTCGCAGCCGTTTCTTCTTTCTTTAATAATGTAAATCAGCAATAGTCGTTCACTGGAACAGTTAAGGTCAAGTCGAACAGCCCATTTGACTTGAAAAGGCCTTTAGAGGGATTTCACAAACAGTAGAAGTGTGGTGGATTTTCCCTTTGTATATGGCACTCAAAATTCACCCTTAGCAATTTGCAAAATCAATAAACGAAGGAACCCGATGCATATTAGAGACAAGTTCATTTACAAAGTTGCTTTGGGAGAAACAAAAAAGCTGGTCTATTTTCAGTACACCTCTCCAGATGGGCAGCCTGGGGGTGCATGGATCATGAATTGGGTTTGAGGTGCTGAAAAAAAATGATATGCCAGCAAATTCACAACAATAAAAAGAAAAAAAAATCATAAAATGAAGCTGGCTTCAACAACAGAATAACGAGCACACACCTGAAATTCCACAATGTGCCGCTTTAGATAAGCGGTGCATGAGAAACTGCATGAGAATCTGGGAATCGGAAGCTTTTTGCAGGGAATAATCTTGCAAATCTATCACATAAGGCCAGAAAGTCACCTGACTGACGAGAATATAAAAAAACGTGGTGACGAGGGGTGCCCAAACGTTCGATTTTTCACTGGGAGTATGTTGTTGGTGTTTGCCAGAGATAGACAGTTGGGGTGATACATTCTAAATACTGACGTTGCATCAGAGTGTGCATGGAAACTGAATTTTAATTTAAAGCGGTTCAAAGATATGTCCATCACCTCCCTGCACCCTCACCTCAGTCTCTCAATCTGATGGTAGTTTTTTGTCCCCGCCATTTCTTCCTCTTTCTGCTTTCATCTGATTGGGAGTCGCATAGATTTGGAATGCTTTTGTAAGCCGTTTCTTCCCAGCAGTCGAATCAACTGATTTGTGCACATCGACTCACTGTGCTGTGCATTTTGCGTTCATGCACTTTTAGCCTTGAGATGACTCTTCTCCCCATGAGTCTCATCTCCCTATTTTTTTCCCTGCATTGGCCTGAGTGTGTAGGCTCCGTCAAATCTCCCGCTTCATCTTCACTATCCTTGAAATGAGTTGTTTTTACGGTTGATGAGTCACGAGTATCGCTCATCGTTCTAGTCGGAATGACGGTCCTTCTCTGTATGCCTCATTGTTTTTTAGTTTTTTTTTCTCCCTGCAATCTCTTTCTGTGCTCTGAGGTGGAGTGTATTAAGAGGAAATGTAGCATTTGATTGGGCTCTTACCGGCCTTGTTATACGCGGGATTTGAGCGCTGTTGTTGTTTTTCTCATAGTTAGGTAAGACGCCCGGCCTTATCTGCAACCCTTTCAGCTGCTGGCCTCGCAGTTGAAATCCTCACCGGCGTCAGGGAAGTCATGGCCTCTCCTGCCGCGGCGTGTTTACTTTAAATTAGCGCCTGTGCCCGTCTGGGGAAAAAAAAAAAAGGTCTCGGTCATTTGGGGCAAATGAGCCCACTCCGATGACCCAGAGGAACTTTTTTTTCTCCTTTTTGTTTATGAGGTAGCAGCATGGGCTTAAACAAGCTTGTTAGTCGCGCCGTTACAAAGGGGAAAAAAAAAAGTTTCCCGGCTGCAGATGGAAAAAACAGAGCATCTCCACCGACTTTGTTTCATTTTTCTCGGTTTTGTTTGCATCCTCATTAGCCGAAACTTAGGTAACTTTAGAAAAGAGGAGGAAAAGGCATTTCTTCTGCGGTTTCTTGCTCTATACATTATCCGGATTGGAGCGAGCTACCTCCGTGTTTTTATTCTCTAAATAATTGCCAGGTTGGTGCCAACCTCAAGATGTTTGAAGGGAGAATTGGGAAACCTTGATTACAGCTACGGTTAAGGGTCTGCTCAGATATGCATAACAATGGCAGAAATTAGACCGCTGTCTCTGAAATGTCGCCTTTCCTGAGTAGAAATTCAGCTTTTATCCATTAGGTCAACCCCGTTCGAGCATTTAAATGGCTTGGATTCTTCTTTCATCTGAGAAAAACCTGATAGTTGCTCAGTTGAGGTAGATATAATATTGGTAAATATACAGAACTAAAGAATGGACGCTGTTTCAAACAGTGAAGTGAACAGTCTCATGAGTTTTTGTCGCTTAGTGTTTTTAAAACATGAGGCTGGGTTATGGGGGGGGTTAATGTTGCACAGTGAAGGGGATACATTTTAAAGATAGCCATATTATCTGTGTCTGTTCATTTTTTTGTGTCTTCATTTAACTTAAAGGATTTAAAGTGAACACAAGAAGTAGGACTGAGTGAAAAAGGAATTTGAACCCCTCCTCTAAAGGCAAAGTAATCTACTTTCATTCATGTCATACCTCCAGCATTCCTCAACTGTAAATAGTGATTTGGTAAATAGGAAATTGGGCTACTATGAAAACATTAGGCTGCAAGTCGGTGTGGTGGTCAGCACCATCGCCTCACATTAACTCATTGACTGCCAGCCATTTTCAGAACACAGAGTCCCATACTGCCAGAGTTTTTTGAGCATTTTGACTGATTTTTCAAGAGCCACAGAATAGTTTGTGCTATGACTATGTAAACACCGAACACACCAAAAGAAAGAGTAGACTCTCTTCTTTCATCAGGAAAAAACATTGGTTTCTACCTTATTCCGTTCTTCCTCGACTTGTGTCTCACTGCGCCATTTCTCGCATAGCGAACCATTACGTTTTTCTTATTTGCCTACAATCTATGCTAATCTCCCATCAAAAGTGGCACTGCCACCTAGAGGGTCAATTTGTTAGTACATACTCTGTCTAGAAGCCTGATATTTACGGACAAGCTTTAGCAGATCGTCCCACAAGCCACTCGCGTTGAAAACATAAAAGACGTCTATAGACATCTTTGGCAGTCAACGGTTGTATTTGAATTGACGTCTATAGACGTCTTTGGCAGCCAATGAGTTAAGAGGGTTCTGGGTTCAAGTCCCCAGGGGAAACAGGGGACATTGGACATTGGATCCTAAGGAAGGAGTGTGCGAGGTCTCAGTGCGGCCCTGTGATGGACTGGCTGTCCATCCAGGGTGAACCCTGCCTTTTGCCCATTGACAACTGGGATAGGCTCCAGTCCCCCCTGCAAACCGGGAATGAGCAGTTCAGAAAATGGATGGATGAATAAATCAATGATTGATTAAATGACAATTAAGATTAAACCTTAGGCTTAATGTTTGTTTAAAGCACTGGCAAAAACATATCTGTGGTCCATGTGTTTTCTTATGGTCATCACCTGGCGTTGCAAGTTCTGCTTGAGTGTCCATATCATCCAGAGAAAAGTCAAAACTGTTTAGCAAAATGCATTCTTTTTGGCATAAGATAATGCCATGATTTCAAACGTCTTCCCAAAATACCTCAAATGATCTCTTTAGTCCAGCTCAGTTTAGTCAGACGCCAAAACATAATCAATTGCAGAACATAGTTTGAAAGCACGCTTGATTTCCGCCAGCAAGTTCCCAAATTTTTTAATATGGTCCAAAAGCAATAAATTGTTTCTCCTTGTGCATCCTGTGGAATTCATTTAGCACGTTGACCTAAGCGTGTGCGTTTAGTGTTATTGCGTGTTTGCGTGTGTGTGTGTGTGTGTGTTAACGCTGACTAGGACAGTCAGGGGAATATCGCAGCACTACTGTTGGTTTAATGTGTTTGGAGTTAATAACCAGATGACTGAACGAGCAGGGAAGGATGGGAGTGAGTGAGAAATGGAGCAATTTGCCTTTTTTATGCAGAAAGAGAGATAGAGATAGAGATGGAGGGGTAGATAAAAAGAGAATGAGACAAGGAGAGCCAGAGGGGTAAACAGAAAATGGTCCTCTTGCTAAAACACAACCATAAGCTCCATGACGGGTTTGTTGCAGTGTGTTTTGTGTGTTATTTGGCAGAGGATGGGCTATGTCATTTATCTTAATGATACAGCATGGCCCACATGAGCTTCTGAGACACAGACACACACACAATCAGTTTAATGTCTTCATTAAACGGCTCTATTCAGCACAAAAATCTGTGCGGAAAATGACCTTGATATAAAAGAAAAATATTAAACCACAACATCTAAGCTTTGACGCGCGTGTAACATGCACTGAACGGTAGAGTTATTACGAGCGGAAGAAAAAAGGTTTTTGATAAAGGGAATTTGTCAGTTTGACCTGCAAGTAACAAGAAGGTAAAGCAGGGGCCGAACGGTTATGTTCGGAAGCAAATTCAATTTTCCAAAAGCGAGAGAGACAATGCTTAGAGCGAGACTCCACTCCTATTTTGCAGAGGTTTAGGTTACAAAAAGGCATAATTGAGATGTCCCTATGATCGTACACTGTCCACACAGTTGTAGACTGTCACATTTCAAAAGTGTAATTTAGGAAAAACCAAAAAGATGTTTCTAAACAGACAAAATGCTATGAATGCATGGCAATATTCCTCGAAATAAGACAATATTTCAAATATGGTTGAAATAGAGCATGCCATCAATCCATTTCTGCAGCCGCTTATTCCGAAATACGATCTCAGGGGGGGCCCGAAGCCTATCCCAGCTTAATATGTATGATCACATATCAAGACGCCTACTTTGATTAATGACCCATGCCCACATTACATTATCCTGCAGAGTTACAACATTTGCCACCATCCGCAGCCGTCATTACATCACAATCATTCAACACGCTCAAGGTTCCATTTTTTTTACTCGTCTTGAGTCTACAGCTGAGCTCATCCAGAGGCAGAGTTGCCAGACGTTGTGATGGAAGCGGGCGACGTAATTTAGCAAAAAACAAACCTGAAAACCTGAAAACAACAACGAAAAAACAAATCCAAGGTTGTTGGTTGTTTTCCTTTTTATCTAACTGCTCTAGATAGAGTCTGCTCCAGTTACACATATCCGTTCGGACCATTTTCCAATGTGTAACTCAGTGGAGCGTGAAGTAACAATGCGATCTCACAGAGATTTACAAAACTGCCATGAAACAGGATGCACTGACTCCTGTCCTACCATACGACTTCCTTAAAATAGTCTACCTCTGAATTCTGGAACGTATCGAAAGAATCACACATGTGATATTCTGATTCAGGAGGTTATGACAAATTTTGCCTTTATTATCATCATTATCATTATTATTATCAGTTGGAGGGGTCATCTTAATTTTTCATTCAGTGAAAAAAAAAATATTTTATGTCATCATTCACTTACTTAGTCACTCATTCTTTGACGAGTTTAAGTCTCCCGAAACCTCTTGTAGAGGTTCAGGTACTCAAAACTACTCGGTTCTGTTATAAAAAAACACTGGGGCCCCTCCTAAAATATGCCCCTCTTCATATGCACAAATAAGCCCAGCGGCGTCAGTAAAGTATTCATTTTATAGTGTCATTTTGCACCGCGAGACCAAGCTGAAACTATCATAAGCTTTTACTTTAAAGATATAGCGACTGCCAGAAATTAGATGGGAACACCTGGCACGTTGTGTTAAATAGTCAATGATCTACTAAAGCCTCTTCGGGGAGTCTTTCCTTCCAGGAGAGACGGCATCATTCATTCCAGCGAGAGGCCTAAAATGACACGTTATATTCATCTGACAGAGACCTCGAGGGCTAGCAGAAATGATTACGGGCGCATTGGAAGTAGTGATCTGACGTTATATTAGCACTATAAAGGCAGCGAGATGTGGATGGAAGATCGGGCATGTGGCTTTTAGGAAAAGATCAGCCTTTTAACCCGAGACATCTCAAATTTTTCAAATGTCTGTAGTGCAAATTTCAGTCCAAACTGTGTTCTCTATGTGAAACAACTTGTTCCTTTTATTGACTAATGTCCGGGAATAAATGTATCACGTAATTTAAAATGATCAAATGTAAATATTAGCCCAAAAAAAAAAAGGTTATTTGATTGAGCACACCGTTACCTTTCTCAGCTGGATCTTGTCTAGCGGGCAACTTTGATCTTTTTTTATTTTTTTTTATTTTCTTTGGATGCCAAAATGCCTCGCAGTCGCACAAGTCTTCATCCACCGTCCACGCCATGTTGTTACCACAGCCAATCCTCTGCAATACTACCCAAGTCTAATCCAGACACAGCTCTGCGGGGAGCCAAGAGACAGCCGCGAGTGTTTCGCAGCACACGCAGACCCAAAAAAAGGATGCTGCAGATTGAAATGTCATCTTGACGGCTAATGAAAGATAACGCAGAAAAACCGAACGAACGTTGCGCACGTCGTTTTTTGTCCAGACAAAGACATGCGCAGATTAGCGGGCCTGCGATTTTGGATCACTGTTCAGATCGGAATCTCTGGGTTCACTCCGATGCCCGCTATCCAGGGGACTCGCCGACATCGGCTTTTTTTGCGAGCCAACTGTCTCCTCTCGCTCAGCTATGGCAACGCTGAGCGAAACCCTTTTTCCATCCAAGACAATTATCTGCTCTAATGGATTCGGTTGAGATGGGGGGCCGACCTGAGACGGGGGGGGGGGGGGGGGCGGGTTTTTTTCATTCTTTCCTAAAGCAGAGCGGCCAATTATATCGCCTTAACTAGACGTTAGCTTTTTTTAGTCGGCTAACCAGGCCCAATTAGAGAGCAGCTGCAGGTGGATTTTAATGGGAGAATTTTCTTTTTTTTTTTGGGGTGCATGTGGTTTCTCAGCTCATCTCTGTGCCTTTCCTTTTCTTTTTTTTTTGCTCCGTTTATAATTTTGCATGCCTCAGCGGCAGAGAGAGTTGCTTGGTTATGAGGAAAGTTGCAGAGCTCGAGGTTTTTTTCTCTCTTTTTTTTTCGCCCCCCTCTCAGAGCACTTCAGGGTCATGCAGGACGTGGCTTTGATTTCCAGAGAGCAGCCTTGTTGTTTTTGAAAAGAGGGGAGGAAGCGAGGGAGGATTTGGGGAGTTTTTTTTTTTTGGTATGTGACATTGGTTGCTTTTCCACCAAAGTAACCGGCGGAGTGTATGGATTTTTTTGAAGTGCCGCGAGCTGGACCGAGTCCTACGTTAACAGGATTAGAACATCAGCCAAATGCCCGTCAGAAGTAGGCAGCATTGTTTGAAGCCATCCGCTCATCCTCTTCCTGTTTTTCCACCCGCAAATCTGCTCTTTATTGGAGTGTCAAACTCAGAATGTGCTCTATGTCGTTCCCTGCCTATCCCCGCTGTCAGTCAGCGGCTCTTTGACGCGCATAAATTATATACACCTTAAGGGGCGTTTTTGAAAGCTGGCGGAAGGCAGAGAGAGGGATCAGCGATTTGGGGTTGGGGGGGGGGGCGAGAAATATCATGAGTCGGAGGATGTATCCCGTACCACCCGGAGGCTTGTGTGAGCCGTAATTGCTGTAGTTAATGTGGGTCAGCGTTTGAGTGGAACCCCCGGGGGTCAAAAGGAAAGTGGAGGGGAACGGAAAATATCTGAACTGGAAGGATTGAGGGGGGTGGGGGGATAAAAAAAGCAAGTCACTGTAGGCACACTAGCCACGAGTGGAGGGATTTTAGGGGGAAAGCTCTGCGATAACCCTCCCAACACCTGCCTCTTTTTCCCCCTTTTTTAACAACCGTACTCCCGCTCTGCAAGACCGCTAGGCATTCCCGGCTTTTCACTCCTCGCTTGGTGCTGAATCAGCGCCAGACGTTTCTGTGTTGAGCAGAGCAGCAGCTGCCAACTTGGAAGCTTTTAGCAACTTCTAACAATCGTAAGTCATGTGCATTTTCAAACAGACCGTGGACACAGTTAAAAGTCAATGTCTACGGACTTTCAAATATTTCTCAAAGAAAATATTTGGCTATTATCGATCGGAAATTGCGTTTTAGATATATGTGAACTAAGGTAAAGCGTGTTAAATCAGTGCATTGTGAATTATCTTCCGACAAAACAGCAATCACCTGCCGCTGCACGCCACTTGAGAATAAAAAAATAGTTTGCATAATTGCAAATGTGCTAAAGCTGAGTTTTCCACGGTTTGCTTGATTCGCTTCTGGATAACTTAGCTTTCGATATAAGATAATCCGCTTCCTTTACCTCTGCAGATAATATGGCCCTGCTCGGCAACAGGCACCACAGAAAAGCTGGGTGCTAGAGATCACGTTGTTTCGCTAATGGGAAAACGCCAGTATTAGGCTTCTGGTCAGTGTAAGGAGGAGCTTTTCCAGTTTAAAATCAGGGTTTGCAAAAAATGCTCTTTTTTCATTTTTTTTTAACTCAGCACATGAGTATGCAATTGACTAATTTCCCAAGCAAAAGAAGTAAGCTGGTGTGCAACAGTTCAGCATCTCCACTGGCCTAGTGCTGGTAGTGCAAAGGGTCTATGATTGTGTATGGGATTATTTACTCTTTGTCCTCACTTGGATCTGACTTTTTATGTGAACATAAAAGACATGTCTTATGAGACTTTTCCAAATGCAGCTTTTAGAGTAACCGTCAGTGTTCAAACAATGATGATTCACCGAGATGATTCACAAGGAGCCTTGTACCACAAAAAATACCTAATTATTTTCTGTCAACAGTAGGAAACCATAACACGGCAAAGTTGAATACAGCTGTTTAATGTGGGACTCTGAAACCCAGACAGTTGAAAGTCTTCAATGTAGATTAGCTTGTGCTCCAGCTAAGATGACCCTCACATGGGTATGCTGAGATGTTCTTTTTTTGTTAAGAATTACAACAAAAAAAGCAAGAATTGGTTGACACAGTGGTGTGGTGGTTTGCACTTTTTCGCCTCACAGTGAGAGGGTTCCAGGTTCAAATTCCTTGGGGGACTGGGACCTTTTCTGTGGGAGTTTGCGTGACGATATTTGAAAACTTTTTGTTCATCAGCATTCCAGGTACGAATAGATCACCAAAGCGTCACTGAAGTGTTGATTTTTTGGTCTTTTTCGGTGATGTTGTAGTTTTAGTGCAATGATGGTCAATAGGTAGTTAGAGGGTGTCCTAAAAACACGAGGAAACAGGACGATCGAATCCAAAGCAAAAGAAAAGGGTGCAGAGGGACATAGGAAAGGACCATGAACTGGAATTAAACCCAATATTAAAAGATTACTTACAACTCTTTTTGTAAAATTACAAGGGAGCGTTCCTAATATTGTTCTACTTTTGCCCTTGTACAGCGTATTTGTATCTATTTTTACCCATTATATATATAAATATAAAGCATCTGCTATAGAAGCAACATGACAAACTGCACATATGTGGCTCAAAGGAACTTAATCATTAGTACTGGACTGCCTCTAGGTACAGCGTCCAGAATCGGTTCCAATCGTCCGCTCGTGCCAAAGCCTCTCGCCTCTCAGCGGCGTTTGCCAGCGCACCTCTCGGTGTCACGGTGAGCGCGGGATGCTCTTTATCTCCCACCCTGCTTCAGAAGGTCATTCGGATCAGGCGAGGGGACGTCTTTGTGCGCTTTTTAAAAAATGCCGTGTGCGCCCGGATCGCGCCATATTGTAAAGGATATACAAAAAAGCCTGAATTCAGCTCCTCTTCATCCGCCGCTTTTGCTTATCTGCAGCCCTGCTGTCCCGTGCAGAGAAGTCAAATCAACTCGTTGTTTAGGAGGTTGACAGAGGAAAGCGAGGGGGGGTGTTGGGGGGGGGGGGTTGCATCCACACCCTGTCAAAGGCCCCCTTCAGCAGCTATGAAGCATTTATGAACAGGCATCTCCCTCCTCTGCTTTTTATTCCGCTCACAACCGCTTCCTCCCCCCCACTCCGCCTGTCTTCTTCTTTTTCTTCTGTTTTGTGTTGCGCCCCCTCTGCCCCTTCTTCCTTGCCTCCTTT